CATACAAACTGCCTTTTTCCCTTTAGAAATCAAATTACAGTATTTGCCATTATTGTTATAAAAATAACCTCCACAAATTAGAGCATGTTCCCCATTTATTCATTACTTAAATGTAGATAAGCTTAAAATGGTCATGAGGATTATGATCACTAAAACCACAAATGGATTAAATTGGACCCATACAGAAGAGATTAGTGTGACCTTTGTCCCCGGGATTTCAATAAGGGAAAATTGCATTTTTGCTGCTTTCTAGAAATCTGTTGCCTAAGTTTCTTTTTCTTTAATGTTACCCATTTTATCACCAGATTAGATTTTCTTAGAGATTGAACCTCCCACGGTTTCAGAACTCTGCAGGACAAACAGGTAACGTTAACTAAATGCTAACTTTGTACCATACAAGGTACTCTTGCCTTTGATCTCTGAAGATAATAAAACATAAATGTCACTACTACTCCTGTTTCCTTTCTCCAGATGGAAATAAGAACATGGAAACTTAGGAAGATTAGCCCCCTTGTTGAAGGTCACAAAGTAAAGGCAGGATTTAAACCCCAAGCATGTGATAACTCAGTCTTGCTTTTGTTGGTGCAGCTGCTGTGGGTGCTCTTATAGTGGGTGACACCACGTGGTGTTCAGGAGTGCATGTGGTGCCAGGGAGCAATCCCAGGGCGTCACACTACAATGTACCTGCTCTACTGGCTGAGCCAGATCCCTGGTCCCCGGGCCCCACTCAACCACTGACTTGCACCACAGCTCTAAGGGAGTCCAAAAGTGCTGGGAGGGGATTCCCTCATGCTCCAGAAAGGTAGAGTAGTGAGTGGTGGGCATACGGCTGTGGAGCCGATGCCAGGTTCCAGGCATGCCCCTCACCTCCAGTCAGCAGGGGGTCACAGCCATAACTCTGGAAGCACCCAAGACTGCAGGGAGCTGAGGCAGGTCCTGATGCCCAGGCAGCAACCACGGAGCACAGAGGGTGGTCTGGATCATTTTCCAAGTACAAGAGCAAATCCCTCTCACATATGCTGTTACCTACTCAACAGAAAAAAAAAATGGTTCTGTCTTTCACATCTCCCTTCACCCCTGAACACCCCTTCAAAAGCAGACCTTGTTAAACTCAACGTGGTATCCTGGAATGAATACCAAAGCAGAAAAAGACATTAGCAGAAAAGCAGTGAAGCTTGAAAAATTCTAGAGTTCAGTTAATAGCAAGAAGTCAATGTGAATTTGTTTTGACAAATGTATCAGTGAATATGAAGAAGTTAGGATTGGGGTGGGGGATTGGCTGAATGTACACAGGAACTTTCATGTTTTTTTCTAATTTTTAAAAGTGAAGTAAATTTGGAAATATGTTTATTTATCTTGAGATTAATATACTTGAACCATTGAGTCCATCCCTTACACAATTTAAGTGAATTCACAATGATTTTTAGATTTGTCTAAAATGATTGTTGAACTTATCGGTAAAAAGAAACATTTGAGTTGCAGGCAAAAATCAAAGTTTTATAGTCTTGGTATCAAACACTATCTTTCTTTTTTTTTTTTGCATTTTTTTGGGGGGATCACACCCAGCGATGCACAGGGGTTACTCCTAGCTCTACACTCAGGAATTACTCTGGCGGTGCTCGGGGGACCATATGTGGGATGCTGGGAATCAAACCCAGGTCAGCTGAGTGCAAGGAAATGCCCTACCCGCTGTGCTATCTCTCCAGCCCCTCAAATACTATCTTTTCAGGAAAAGATATTGATTGAGACTGAGTTATAAAGTCTCATATTCCCAAATAAATGACCAGAACTTTGTATTACCATTGAGAAACACAGTATGTTATAGTTAGCCAATGGCATGATTTCCTGACATAGCTTCCTTCTAACCTTCCTTCTGACCTTTCACACATTCCTAAATTCCAAGTATCATAACCTGGCACATCTTGTATAAACAGCAAAAAGAAAGTAAAACAGTGGTAAATTATGTAGGTTACTTAGTCATGGTTTGGCACAACAGGATTCGATACTACTACCTCTAATAGGATGATTTTGCATGACAAGTATTGCTTTCCGTAAGAGCCCTGGCTAGGAATGGAACAGGCTGTACACAGAACTTCTGGCTCGCTCTTCAGACTTGAAGAACAAATCAGAAAATGACCAGTGTTGTAGCCGAGGTGATACAATCACCTGAATGGTCATCTCAGATTTTGAACAAGTGCACCATCAATACACAGCCACTCTCTAAACCCTCTTGTTTTTTGAGGATTTGAAAATGCACAGCTCTTTGGCTGCTCATCAGATCCCACTTGCTCTGCCAACCGCCGCCAGCTTCTTCCCAGAGAGGCAGGTGCAGCCGGGGCTCAGCTGACGGACAGCAGCAGAGCTGGGCTATTTGTGGCTGCAGCATCTCACCTCGGCTTGGCTCCCCCAGACAGAGCCGGCGAATGAGTTCTGACAAGTGATCAGAGTCTGGTCTTCTGCAGACCCAAGTTAAACACTAGTGGCATATAAAATTCTTAAAGAGTTCAAGGATTTTGACACTTGTACTAAACAATAACCGAAGTTTCAATGGAAGGGCCTGAATAAGAAACAATAGAGAAGTAAGGATATGTGGAAGAGAGGCAATTGAAAATCAAGCTTCTTAGAATTTGAGAAACCTAATTTCAAAGATATTTTAAAAAAACAAAAGAGGAAAAAAAATCCCAAACTAGATTGCTGACCATCAGTATGTTTCAAATTTGTGTGTGTGTGTGTGTGTGGCGGGGGGGGGGGGGGGGTGCTAGGAAGTCCCAGGACTCTACTAGCAATTCTCAGCCAACTGCATTGGTTGAATAGAAAAGTCCAAGGATGTGAGGTTGCTGAAGCCCTATGGTGCTATGGACACTGGAGGCCACACCTAGTAATGTTCTGGGACCTCTAGGGCTGCACCCAGTGATGCATGGGAGCACCACTTGGTGCTGGGAATGGAACTTGGATTGGACCCATGCTAGGCATGGGCTCTAACTACTGTACTATCTCCTGACCCCTAGTTTAGATTTTTTTAAGTTAATAAAATTGCAACGTGAATACGATTCTGATCTATCAATGCACAGCTCCTTCGGAGAGAGCATTTGGAGTGACCTGAGAGCTTGGGATAGTTCAGTGATAGAGCACCAGCTTTGCAAGCCTGATAACCTGACTTCCTGCCATGGCCCCACAGATTCTGATCCCTGCTCCCACAACACCGTGTCCCACCTCTGGTGTGTTGCAGCTAAATGTTCAACCGTTGCGAGCACTGCAACCAAAATGAGTGCCAGCACCCTAACCAAGTGTGAGAGTAGCCTAAGGGTGCCACACCCTGCCACTGCAACAACACAGAACATTAAAAAAATGGGTGGAGGGGGAGGAAGAGAAGAACAAAAATATCAATCTATGCTAACATGAAACACAAGCCAAATATCATGACTACTCCTCCCCTCCCCCCCTCAGTGCCCAACCCAAAAGCCCCAACAGAATAGAGAACCTTTAGAAAAAGACTGAAGATTCAGCAAGAAATCTGCTGCTTTAGATCTCCAGTATCTGGGTTTTAGGAGAAAAGGCAGAGAAAGTAGAAAGTGCTGGTATTCCCCCTCCCCTCCCAAAAATGAGCACTGAGTACCAAGACTGGTCACCTTCTGCATTGTCACTAATGCCTTCCTGTGTGATGAGAGGAGGAAGCCAGCCACTCGGAGCCCACCATGTGGGAAGCTGCATGCTGAAAACTGTGAAACTGGAGCCAAGATGAACTATCGACAAGTACATTGAAACACAGTTTTTGCTCTCTCTGGGAAGTAGACAAGAAGGTAAATGCATCTCCAAAAAAAAAAAAAAAAAGAGGGGGTTAGCACTCAGTAACAGGTGTCAAACCCTCCTTGGAATCACTGCACTGGCAAGGAGCCTGCTCTTTCATAGACAAGTGCTTAGAAAGCAGGTTGGTAAATGTAGTTAAGTCCTTGGAGATCGGAACTGAGATTTTCTTTCTGAGTTCCTTTCCGATTTACAAAGTGTTATGTGATGTTAACCACCTTATCAATTCACACCAGTAGGCTGTCACTCACCCATGGTATTGGGGGACCCCAGCATGATCATTACACAGGGGCTCTGGTAAGAGGAAAGAGGAAAGTGTTCCCACAATGGATTGCTAACCAGGAAGCAGGAATCAAGTGTTTTGCAGAAAGACACCAAGAGCCAGTAAGCAAAGGACTCTGCACAGAGTGGGAGAGGGAGGGAGGGAGGGAGGTAATTTGGCCAGAAGCCTGGTCCTAAACCTTTTCCCACTGGGTTTCAAACTTTCCCCCCTCATTCACCAAAGCTGACTCCAAGGGTAACAACCTCTACAATAAATTTCCCTGCAAAACGTTTGAACGTACCTCGCTTCCAAGAGAACTCTGGACCACCTAGCCAGATCACTCAAAAGTCTCTTCTGCAAGAACTCGTTCTCACTTAATAAAAGAACCCTGCTTGTCATTTTTACCAGATGGTTCATAACAAGCAACACAAAATAAATTACTTAGATCCTGCTTTGGGGGCAGGCTTGGGTGGTGGTGGGACAATTCGAAATAATGGTGGTGGGCAGGTGTAATGGTGGTGGGATTCTTACTAGAATACTGAATGTAATAAATAAGACTGTGAACAACTTTATAAAAATAAAATTTTAAAAAAATATCCCTGCCTGAAACAAGTCAGATCTAAAAAAATTAAAAACCTATCAGGAACCTTTAAAGGAAAAAAAAAGAGCTGATTAGATTGAGAGTGCCGGGGAGTGGGGAGGAGGAACGTGTCCAGTTAGGTGGCTGGTCACGCCTGCGCAGGCGCACAAGGAGAGGGCGAGAGCGGCGGGAGGCGCTGAGCACGCGCCTGCGCGGAGGGCACCAGGAGGCGCGTGCACTTGCGCCGGCGCGGACGGCGTCCGGGGTGGGGGTGGGGGTGGGAGTGGGGGTGGGGGGGTGGAGGGGGGGGCGGACGTTCAGGGAAGGGGGCGCGGCGCACGCAGCAGCAGCAGCATGGCGTCCAACATCTACTTAGTCCGCCAGCGCATCAGCCGGCTCGGCCAGGTGCGGCCGGGACAGGCCCCGCCCCTGCCCAGAGCCTCACCGTGCGCCCCCAGCGTCCAGCGGGGCCGCCCTCGGGTCCCCGCCCAGCTCCCCCGCACCCCTCCCCGGCTACTCTAACCCTCGGGGGCTCTAACCGCCGCCGCCCCGCCCCGCCCCGCCTCGCCCCGCCCCGCGGCCGCCGGACTCCGCCCTCCGGCCGCGCCTGCCCTTCCTCGTCGCGGGGCTGCCGGTCTCCACGGTCCCCCTCCTCCTCCTCCTCCTTCTCCTCTTCCTCCTCCTCCTCCTCCTCCTCTTCGCCGCCGCCTCCGCCTCCGCCCCGCCGCCCTGACCGTGTCTCGCTCCTTCCTTCAGAGGATGTCCTCCTTCCAGCTCAACCTCAGCCCGCTCAAGGAGCCGCTGGGCTTCATCAAGGTTCTCGAGTGGGTGAGTGCCAGCGCCCCGGACGCGGGGAGGTGGACGGGACAGTGCGCGGCCAGGGCGCCGCGGGAGGGGAGGGGGGGAGGGCCCGGGCACTCGGACTGGAGGTCGGGTGTCGGAATCAACGCGTGTCCCCCCCCACACACCTCTCCTCCCCCCGCGCCCCCCAACCCGTCCACCAGCCGCCACCACCCCGGACCCGGGCGCGCCGCGCTCCCACCCCGCAGCTCGTCGCGGCGCGCCCCACCCGCACACGGGGGGTCGAGTTCAGATGTCGGCTGTGGGGGCCCCTCGGCCTCCCGCAGAGGGGAGGCGGGGACACTTCCTGCTGTGCGGGCTCACCGGAACCGGGCGGGCCGGGCCAGTGAGTGGCCTCTCTGCGCCCGGCCGGGCTCGGGCTCCGGCTCCAGGCCGCGCTGCCTCGAAAGCGCAGGGCCCGGAGCGGTGTCCCCGGGCGCGCTGGAGCGCTCGGTGCTGGGGTGGGGTCTGGGAAGCGGGTGGGGGCGCGTGTTGTTCCTTTATTGATTTACTTCCCCCCCCCCCCCTTTTTTTTTTGCCACTCACGCTGGTGCCCAGGGCTAACTCTTGGCTTCTGTGCACGGCGATCACTCCTGGTGGTGCTCGGAGGGACCCAGGGTGCCGGGAATAGTCCCCGGTGCGTGTTGTTCTTTTATTGACTTACTATGGGGGATATTTTTCTGGGAGGGGGCACAACCGCTGGGGCCCGGGACTGATTTCTGGCTTCTGTGCGCGGCAGTGACTCCTGATGGCGCTCAGAGGGACCCAGGGAATAAGCCCTGCGTTGCGTGTCGTTCTTTTATTGATTTTACTTTTGGGTTTTTAAAATTTATTTATTTTTGGCCACACCCGCTGGTGCCCAGGGCTGACTCCTGGCTTCTGTGCGCGGCCGATCACTCCTGGTGGTGCCCGGAGGGACAGTAAGGTGCCAGGAGTAGTCCCCGGTGCGTGTTGTTCTTTGAAACAAAAAAGGCCTTCGGTGCCATTCCCTAGGAATCAACAATGTTTGTTTTCAGTCTGCCCAGGAAACATTCTTTAAATAATAATAATTATTATTATTACAGTTATTATTATTATTATTATATTCTTTTCTGGCACAGTCACCCAGGTTGGTATCAAAGGGGACTTGAAGTCACCTGCGACTCATGGTGAGGGTCAGTGGGACGGAGGAGGTCTGCCCCTGGCCCCCGTGATTCCCTGATTCCCTGCAGGCTGCGGGGCTGGGTTTTCACGGCCGGGCTGACAGGCGGCCACTGGCCAGGGTGCGAGGCATGCTGTAAATGCCGATTTTTTTTTTTTGCCCCCACGAGTTTACAGCAACACCTGAAACTCTCTGATCTTGTATTTTAATGATCAAGTTGGGAAGAAAAACAGATTCTGTCCCGATTTTCTGCTTCCACCCCCAAGGTTTCCCACCATCCTTCTTGAAAACTTTGCTTGATATTTTCTGAAAGTTGCAGTCGTGATTCCACACAAATGTCTGCTTTTAAGAACTTGGCGAATGTGTAAAACTTAGGGCTGGTTGCACCAGTTTTAACTTCGAAGAAAATTGAAAATGTGATTTCAAAATTGCAGGAGGAAAGTCGTGTTTTTAACTTGGACATTTAAATATAAAGGTGAAGAAGAAGGCTTAGATTTAATCTCGTTGAGCATTGCAGTTAAATTTTCACTTAAGCGAAGAGGCACTTGTTTATAAGTACTTACATTATATGCAAATTTTAAAACCATACTTATTTTTTCCCTTACTATTTTAAAAGATTCATGCTTAAAATTTGCTGGTGATGGTAGGCTTGATATATTTTGAAAAAAAATCTCCTTTTAAACTTCTTTTTCTTCTTTGGTTCACACGAGGCTGTGCTCAGAGCTTACTCCTAGCTCTGTGCTCAGTAGCTGCTTTTAGCTGTGCTCCGGGATCTTAATGTGATGCCCATAATTGAAGTCTGGTGAATAGCTTACCATTTGCAAGGCAAGCACCCTACCCCTTGTACTATTTCTGAGGCCCTCCTTTTTAAGCTTCTTAAGGAAAGACTGGTCTGTTTGAATGATCTACTACATTGGAGAACCGTTTGTGAAAAGACTACATACTGTTAATAATTGGATATTCAACAGATATTTAAATTTTTCAAGATATCGGTGTTTGTGCTCAGCACTAGAATAAAACAAGGTCTTTTCCTTATGACCTATTGAAAATACATGAAAATAAAGAGGAAAATCCATAAAAATAAAAGGCATAGGCAATGAATAACAGATCAGAAGAGAGCAGTTGCTTGGTGGGAGTTAGGACTTCATAGGTCAAAAACACTTGACGATTAGTACTGTTGGGGGTGGGGGAGTTGTTTTTCAGGCACCTGTTTTTAAGCAGAACTTAGGTTTATTGGCATGAAATACCATCACCTTATCCTTATTTGAGAATTTAAATTATGTGCTGCACTGGAATGTAATGGAAAGGGAGTGTGAGGTTTGGAATGCTTTTGAAAGGTTTCAAAGGTTTGGAGTTTGTCCTGTGGGAAATCTTAACCCTCTAGGGTTAACCTAATGAAGTCTGGATTCATTCCATGGGAAAATGCAGGGCTCAGAGTTTCATGTCATTTGCGGAATAGTTTCCACTTAAGCCCAGAATTCCTACTGTGCAGCGTGGGGACTTTACTTATTCAAGGATTTTAAAAGTGAATCATATCGTTAGGTTTGGCTTTTAGAAATTTTAATTTTTTTCGCCATTATAGAGGATGACTGGGAAACGTCCCCTTTGGAGGAAAGAATATCTGTTGGTTGAGAATGATAAGCGCCTTTAAGTAAACTCATTAGAAACGTAGAAAGTAGAATTTATTCGGAGAATGAAGACAGACTGTTGCTCTATTTCTTTCATTTTTTTGGTTTTGGGACCATACCTGGGATGCTCAGGGGTTACTCCAGGCTCTGCACTGAGGCATCACTTCTAGCAATGTTCAGGGGACATATGAAATGCCAGAGATTGATATGGGTCGGCCGTGTGCAAGGCAAGCACCCTACCTGCTATGTTATTGCTTCGACCCCTGTTGTTATATTTCTAATTTGGATTGGTAGTAAGATAAATCATTAAGGAACAAAATTTCGATGGAATGTAGGTAAGTTAGGGATGTGCTGATTGTGGTCTCTTTAGATTATGTAAGTGAAGGTGTGTGTCAGCAATTAGCTAAATAAATCTACAGTTAAAAAGAAAAATAAGACAGGATCAGAGTTTGTATAGTGCCTGCCTCTCACAGACGCTATCCGGGTTCTGTCTCTGAACCCCACCAGGACTGATCCCTTAGCTGGAACCAGGAGTAACCCTGAGCACAGCTGGATGTGACCCCCAAACCCAGAAAGTTAACGTATATAAAATAAAATATGGGGCAGGGATGTGGCACAGTGTTTGAACCAACACTTTCTTTGCAAGTGCAGAGACCCTAGGTTCCATCCTTAGAACAGTGACTATCTCCTGGTACAGCTGGATGTAGCCCCAAACCCAATAACTAAAAATATAGAATCATTTTTGTAAAATGCCTTCTTAAAACTATGGTTCTCTTCAAAGTCTTTTCATGGAAAGAAAAGTATTTCACAGATATCCGCCAGAGAAGGAGACAAGGCATGGTTAAGCTGGAAGGAAGTAGCATTTTGTCATCTTTATTGGATTTCAAGAAAATACTACTTGCGGGGGCTTGAGTGATAGCACTGCGGGTAGGACGTTTTCATTGGTGGTGGAGAATGGGTACTGGTGGAGGGATGGGTACTTGATCATTGTATAATTGAAACCCAAATACCAAAGTTTGTAAGTCTACAACTGTACCTCATGGTGTTTCACTAATAAAATAAATAAATAAAATACTACTTGACAGTATCAGCTGCAATAGGGGCATTAAAGTAAATGTATCTGTAAATGTGTCACTTGGGACTAAAATGTGTCTCTTGGTAATAAGAAGGTAGTGGTGGCTTTAGTTAAGTGTAGTTCCTCACTATACTGACAGTAAAATGAAGAAGCTAAATGGACAGAAAGAAAACAGAATAAACCTCTGTTTGTGAAGATGGGAGAGGTTGGGCAACTCATCTTAATGGTGTGGAAAACTGGGTGTATGTGGGTTGTAAGAAGAGAAAAGTTACCAGAGATTAAAGATTAAGAACAGAGAAAAGCAGGACTGGAGTGATAGTACAGTGTGTAGAGCACTTTCCTTGAACATGACTAATTTGGGTTTGATTCCTGGAATTCTTTATGGTCCCCCATGCCTGCCAGAAGTGATCTCTGACTGCAGTGCAAGGTGTAAGCCCTGAGCACAGCCTGGTGTGGCCCCCAAAACAAAAAGAACAGTGTCAGAGATGAGATGTAGACTTGTACTTTCATAGTTTTTCCCATAGGTTTGTAAGGTACTGATTGAGGTGTTGATTACCTAAAAAAAAAAATTAAATAATTTTGCACATATCCAAAATCTGGACAGAGGCCAACTATATGACTAAAAGAATAGCTCTCCAAATTTATGTTGCCTTGCACACAGATGACCTAGGTTCGTTCCCTGGCCCTGCATGTGGTCCATTAAGCCCCTCACAGAATGATCCATGAGTGCACAGCCAGGAGAAAACTCTGAGCACAGGTGTGGCCCAAAAAACAAAACCAAACAAAAATCTAATCTAGTTACTGTAATCTAGCAGTGATAACTTGCTTCTCTTTGTGTATGAAAGGTTGACTTTTTGTAGTACTTACCTGGGAATAGCAATAGTCACAAAGGTGTTGGAATTATTTCATTGACACATAAATATATCAGTGTTGATTAGTGCCCATGGGCGGTTCTCGGTTCTTCAGCACTAGATGCTGTGTCTCTAGGAAGACTAGACCCAGGCAATGAAGAGCTGAGTTCTTTATGACCAATGTACATAAATTAGTGGTATGGCAACAACACTGGGATTTCTGTTCGCATATTTTCTACTTAAGAAATGGGATGTTGTGGCTGGAGTGATAATATAGTGGGTGAGGTGCTTGCCTTGCACACACCTGACCTGGGTTCAGTTCTGGCATCCCATATGGCACTGCCAGGAGTAATACCTGAATGCAGAGCCAGGAGTAACTCTTGAGCATTGCTGGGTGTGGCCCACCCTCCCCACTCAAAAAAAAAAAATTAAAAAAGGTGTGTTTTGTGCTTTCTGTTTGTCTGCATGTTTTTTGCCTTTAGCAGCCTATCAAGATGACTATAAAATTTAGGCAAGAATAGCTCCTTAATAACAAAGAAGTAAAAGTCCTGAACTAGATATATCAAAGCAGCTTTTAAACATATTTTTGTTATTAAAGCAATATTTAACATGTCTCTAGTAAATTTTGATTTTGCTTTTAATTTATAGTCAGGTATTCCTATTATTTAGGTAAAATTTTTCATGAAAATTTTATTTCCTCTTAGTCTACGCATTGCTTGGACAGTTTCTTGTTGGATGCACAAGTGACAAATCTTTAGCCCTGAATGAATCTTAAATACTGGCTCTACTAATTCCACACTAAAATCGTGAAAAATATTTATTTGGACAGTAATATAAGGATTTCTGCTAAATAAGTTGAATGTTAGAGTTCTTAACCATTTCTGGAAATTTCTTAATAGAGGTCACCCCCAGGAGTTCAGAGCTAAGCCCCGAACAGTCAGGCCCATGGAAAACATCCGCGGTGGACAGGACATGTGGTGCTGGGAAGCTGATGTGGGCTTTGTTTATGCTGGGCATTTGTTCTGGGTCTTGGTCATTTCCTTTACTTTCTCCTGTATTTCTCTCTGACCAGTTTTGAGGATAAACACTGCTATCTCCATGATACTTGAGGCTTAGAATATTTAATTTACCCAGATCCTGTGATTATGATTAGCACACCCAGTACTCTTTTTAGTGCTTAGTGACTTTGGTAACTCACCTTTCCATTATTAATTTATTTTTAGTAAATCAATTTAAAAATTACCCAAAAATTAAGCTTAAAAAAATAATGAAGTATCTTAGGTAACTTTTCTCTCTAGTAAGATGCATGTTTATAATACAAGGTTTGGCAATTAGACTTGATATTAATGATTGTTACTTGATTTTGGGGTTGTTTTTTGTTTCTTGGGCCAAACCTCCTGTGGTGCTCAGGGATTGCTTCTGGCTCTGCACTCAGGAATCACTCTTGGTGGGCTCAGGGGACCATATGGGATGTGGGGAATTGAACCTGGGTCAGCCGTGTGCAAGACAAGTGCCCTCCCCACTCTGTTATTACTCTGGTCCCCAGATTCTTAAATAAAAATTGGGCCATTTACCTATTTTGTATGTATGAATCAAGATAGTTTTTTAATTGAATGAAACTTAACTGTGAGAGAAGAGAGAAAGAGAAGAAATACATGTTCAAGCAAAGACACAGGCTTGAAGAACGAGTCCAGTAGGGCCATTTATCAGATTTGAGTATTATTTCAGATGGGACGGGGGTGGTGCGAAAGATTGAACCCAGGTCTCCTGCATGCAGGCATCCGTTTTACCTCTGAGTCACATCCCTGGCCCATGTTTCTGATTTTATTTATACTAAATGAGAAAATTCAAAAGGACTTCAAAAAACGTTTCTTCAGGATAATTTTTTGCGCCTGCATTTTATTAATTTATTTTTATTGAATCACTGTGAGATACACAGTTACAAAACTTTCATGATTGGGTTTCAGTCATACAATATTCCAACACTCATCCCTCCACAGCATAAACTATTATGCATGAAAATCATTGTGAAACTGTGACCCTTTGAACATTATGCATATCCATTTGTTTAAACGGCAAACTTAAAAAATATACATTGTTCCATTATAAAATACATAGGGTTGGAGAATCTCAAATAGATTGAGATTTTATCAAAGGGACTGTATTTTATTCTAATTTTGTAGTTTTATGATAAATCACAGAGGAACATTCCAGAAAGTACTAACAATTTGTGTTGTAGAAGAGGCGGCATATATTTTTAATGTTTATAAGCCTGACACTGACTTTCAATTAAATTTATCTTTCCTTAACTCTGCTATCATTTGTGTTCACTTGTTTCCCCCAAGTATAAAAAGTTGAAAGGGAATTCAGATAGCATTTTGCTAACCATGATTGGATGTGCATGTAAAGCTTGAAAACAGATTTATTTGCTTACCTACATGATATTTGTTTTGGAATTTTCTCAATATTTACCATGAACACTTGGATAGAACAGATTTTCATAGATGACTTATAGTAAGTGCTTGCAAAATGCACAAATGCATGTACTCACATGTCAGTCTCTGATAAAATACAGAAAGGAAAATTAAGAAAATAGAGCAGTGTTTTAATACAATGGTTCTCAAATACCTCTGATTTAGAACCCCTTTATGTTCTTTTTTTTTTCTGATTTTTGGGTCACATCCAGCGATGCACTCCTGGCTCATGCACTCAGTAATTACTCCTGGCAGTGCTCGGGAGACCATATGGGATGCTGGGAATCGAACCCGGATCGGCCACGTGCAAGGCAAACACCCTATCTGCTGTGCTTTTGTTCCAGCACCACCATTATGTTCTTAAATATTGGGAACCTCAAAGAACTTCTCTTTATAACATAACATGAGGCTGACATCTAAGGATAGGAGATACACGGGACAGATAGATTGCTCTATAGCTGGAAGCCTGCCTCATGAACAAAGGGGAGAAGGCAGCTGGAATAGAGAAGGAATCACTAAGAAAAAGATGGCTGGAAGAATTGGTAGGGATGGGAGATGTGTGCAGAAAGTAGATAAAGGACCAAACATGATAACGTCTCAGGGTCCATATTGCAAACCATAATGCCCCAAAGTAGAGAGAGATTATGGGGAATCATGTCTGCCATGGAGACAGGGGGAGGGTGGGAAAGGGGGGGATACCAGGGATATTGGTGGTGGGGAATGTGCACTGGTGGAGGGATGGGTGTTTGATCATTGTGTGATTATAACCTAAACATGAAAGCTTGTAACTGTCTCACGGTGATTCAATTAAATTAAAAAAAAAAGAACTTCTGTTTATGTGTATTGTATTTATTGATATTTACCATAATTGAACTTAAGATGAAACATTTAAAATATTTATTTTAAGATAAACATAGTAAATTACTTGCAAGCTTGAATAACACCTGTGGCAATAAATGATGCCAGTTTGTCTTGAAGAGGAAAGCTTGCTTTTTTTTTTTTTTTTTTGGAGAACAGCACCTGCCAAAAATCATTTTGGAAAAACCATAGTTTGTTAATTATTTTTTTCAAGTGACAATGGTATTCCATGAGAACAAAAGGTGGGAAATATGACTAGTTCATCGTACTGAATATTTAAATGCTATTTTATGTTGAACAGCAGTGGGGGGCTGTATATTTGCATATACCATTTTATCATACAGAATTTACGAATATTCAAGAGTCAGAATACAATAACAACTGGAATTTTAATAACTACCTCATCAAAGTTTTTTCTCTCTCTTGCTGTGAGAGAATTTGAACCTACGTTTCCCAAATGCATTGCTTTTGCTTTCCCACAGAACCACATCCCCAGCCTCATTGAGTCGTTCTTTTGGGACAGGGCGATGCACCCCCTTGCACAGCATGTGCTTGGGTGGTTTCCCAGTTCATCAACATCATTCACGAGGGAAAGTGGCTTTTTCTTTGAACCGTGAGTTCAAAGAAGGTAAAATAACTGATGCTACTAATTTTCCCTTCATTAAATGCCTGTGCTCGAGTAAGTGGAAATGCCAGTACAATGTAAGAGGTTTAGTAAAAGGTAAAGGTAAAGGCCCTCCCGTTGATCGTCGATTTGCTCGAGTGGGCCCAGTAACGTCTCCATTGGAGACTTTGTTGTTACTGTGTCTGGCATATCGAATACTCTTGGTAGCTTGCCGAGCTCTCCGAGAGGGGCGAGGAATCGAACTCGGGTCAGCCATGTTGGCCGCTTGTAAGGCGAACGCCCTACCCGCTGTAGTTTGAAAATATTTTAAAATTCATGACCTCTCTGAGAATCTTGGGTACTCCCCAAGAAATGCTTGAGAAAAGCTGTTGTAATACGAGGTAAAATACCATTAGAAACTAGAAATAGCCCCTGTATATGAAGATTTCGATGAAACCTTGTTCAGAATGAAATTTAAGTAGATGACATTGAATTAGTCTTTCTAGAGTTTTAACCGGTTTTTGATAATATGTTAAAAAGTTTAATCCATGTCTTGGGTACAGTAATTCTTTCTCGTTGTTTACTTTTTGTCTCATTTTGTTTAGGTTGCTTCTATCTTTTCTTTTGCCACATGTGGAGGTTTTAAGGGAAAAACAAGTATTCTAGTTTCTTGTGCTAAAGAAAACCAAACGGTTTCAGCAGCTTTTGCTTATCCATTCAGGTGAGTTATTTGTTTGCTTTTATGGTTTAACAACTTCACTTTTGGGGGCCAAAGTGATAGCACCATAGGTATGGGTTCTTGCCTTGCACACAGCTGACCCAGATTCAATCCCAGCATCCCACATGGTTCCCCAAGCCCTCCAGGAGTGTTTCCTGAATTCGGTTAGGAGTAACCCCTGAGCGCTGCCAGGTGCGACCCAGACTACCCCTTCGCCCCCCAACCCCGCCTAAAATTCAAAACCTCACTTTCTTATTAACTAATATTTCCACCATTATTGATCTTGTGGGGGTAGAAAATTTCATGTTGCATATTCTTTGCAAGTAAGTAGTGATTATTGCTACTCGAAGTGTGGTACATAGGCCAGTGTCTGTAAACTGTTTCCATGTTCTGGGATGAAGAAAGTACAGAAAAGGAGAGTGAGCACTTAGAAACACTTGTATTACGTTCCTCTGGTGTATTCCATTGGGAATCTTTAAACAAAATTAAACAGGGTGGTGTTTATTCACCTTAGCTATGTGGAAGCAAGGAGAACCCTGATAATCCAGATTTCTTATGCATTTGCAGTTCCCAGTAATGGTGCTCTTTGTATAGGTTGTATGTATATAAAGTGAAAAGTTCTTAGGTTTTATATAGCACTGTAGCACTGTCCCCCCGTTGTTCATCAATTTGCTCGAGTGTGCACCAGTAGCATCTCCATTGTGAGACTCGTTGTTACTGGTTTTGGCATATCGAATATGCCACAGGGAGCTTGCCAGGCTCTTCCATGCGGGCGGGATATTCTCGGTAGCTTGCTGGGCTTTCCGAGAGGGAGAGAGGAATCGAACCTGGGTCGGCTGCATGCAAGACAAACGTCCTACCTGCTCTGCTATCGCTCCAGCCCCATAGGTTTTATATGTGGGCCTAAAATGCCGTTTGCTTCCTCATAAATGATTTTTGTGAATTACTGCATTGAACTCAGTTGAACTTTTTGGGAAGTTTATTACATGCAGACTGTGTAAATCTTCTTGTTTGTTTATTTACTTGACCTCTCTGGACTTATTTTGTTGTTGTTGTTGTTGAATAAAGTGAGAAAATTACCTTTTACGTTTGGGTTTTTTTTTTTCCTTTTTGGGTCACACCCAGCTATGCTCAGGGATTATTCCTGCCTCTGCACTCAGGAGGCAGGAATAAATTTTAATTTAATAAAATTAAATTTTACTTAAATGTTTAAAAAAATTTTTCAAAAGAAAAATATTTTAATGTATTTGGAAATATCTTTCAAAATTGTATTTCAATTCCAGTCTGTGTTATTTCTTAACGGGAAAGTCCAATGATTTATGGATTTATTTGAACCTTTCTTTTAATAGGTTGAATCAGGCATCATTTCAGTCATCTACACAACATAATGTGTGTGACATAGACTGGAGTAAATATGTCCTTATTGGAGATTATGCGTCTTCTGCACAGTTCTATGTTACATTTGCAGTCTTTGTCTTCCTGTACTGCATTGCTGCTCTTCTGCTTTATCTCGGTTACACAAACTTGTATCGGGATAATCGAAAACTTCCCATGATTGTAAGTAATTATTGTTTATAGAAAAGTAAGTTGTGTGAGTATATGTTATAGTTGAAATAAATACTGGAAATAGAAATTCTTATCACAACCCAGAGCCACATTTTGACTGTTTGGCATGAAGTTGAGCTTTCTCATGGGGGAAAGTTTGACTCAATTCTTTGAGCCCTTTTGTGCATTTTCTATATAAGTCTTGGGATTGCAGAGATTTGTTTATAACTCTATGTTGACTTAAAAAAAATCAAGCATATGATAGAACATCCTAGGTTGCAAGTAATGGGAAATTAAATAGAAGTTAGTATCTTAGCCTTTAAGTATTGTTGTTAATATAATATAGTTTCATATAATGTAGTTTATATTATACATAATATATATGGGCTGGAGCGATAGCGGGTAAGACGTTTGCCTTGCACGCAGCCAACATGGCCGATCCGAGTTCGATTCCTCCGCCCCTCTCGGAGAGCCCGGCAAGCTACCGAGAGTATCTCGCCCACACGGCAGAGCCTGGCAAGCTACCCGTGACGTATTCAATATGCCAAACACAGTAACAACAAGTCTCAGTATGGAGATGTTACTGTGCCCACTCGAGCAAATCGATGTGAACAACAGGCGGACCGTGACCATAAATAATATATATAATCATAATATATATACAATATATTGGGCTGGAGCGATAGCACAGCGGTAGGGCATTTGCCTTACACACAGCCAACATGGCCGACCCGAGTTCGATTCCTCCACCCTTCTCGGAGAGCCCGGCAAGCTACCGAGAGTATCTCGCCCACATGGCAAAGCCTGGCAAGCTCCCCGTGATGTATTCGATATGCCAAGCACAGTAACAACAAGTCTCATGATGGAGACATTACTGGGCCCGCTCGAGCAAATCGATGAACAACGGGAGGACCGTGATACAATATATTATATATAATATAATGTAGTTTCATAACTGTTTTTTCTATTTCTTACCCTTCCCACTACCTTTTCTCAAAAGAATCTTTTTGTGCCTCAATACTGTCCATTGAACTTAATAGTCAAAATCAGTAATAAGCAGTCTTTGACCCCCCCCCAAAAAAAAAAAACAAATTGGACTCACTTTTTACAGTAAAGTTATTCTGGAATGCAGCCATATCAAGTCATTTATCTGTTTTAGGAATATGTTTATGCTACGATACAGTGTTTAATTGTGAAATAAATTACAAATATCTATCTTTGGGGCTGGAGCAATTGCACAGCGGATAGGGCGTTTGCCTTGCACACGGCTGAGCTGAGTTCGATTCTCAGCATCCCATATGGTCCCCTGAGCGGCGCCAAGAGTAATTCCTGAGTGCAGAGCCAGGAATAACCCCTGTGCATTGCCGGGTGTGACCCAAAAAGCAAAATATATATATATATATATATATATATATATATATATATATATATTTGCAGGAATGTAAAGTTCTTTCACATTCCTGGGCTGTGTTCTCAAATTCTCTAATTTAAAATCTCAACCAGATAATGTTGTTTTTCTTTTTTTGCAGGGGGTGAGGGGGTGGTACCACACTGGTGGTGCTCAGGACTTAATCCTGGCTCTGCTCTCAGGATCACACCTAGCAGGGTTTAGGGGATTATATAGGGTGCTGGGGATCAAGCCTGGGTCAACCCTGTATTGTTTATTACTCTGGCCCCTCACCCAGGTAATTTTGTACTCTGCATTCATGACAGTCATGAACTGATTCTATATCTTTGATTGGATTTGAAGCCTTAACACCTGGCTTCTTCTGAGCTAAGAAATAAAGATCTCTGAGATCTGATACCAGTATAACTTGGTATTTTATTGGCAAAACTAGAGATGAGCCATGGTTTTAACCTGGAACTCCACTATAAAAGAATAACTATGAAGGCAGTATTAGTGAAGAAAACCGGGGTATTTAATGATACTTGTCATTTATATCTATGGAAAACCAATGGCATCTACTAGTTGTTTTTAAAATTACTTTAAAGGAAAGACTATGATAAATAATTAAATAAGATAGCAGGTTTTATTTACTTATTTATTTTTATTTTTGCTACCTGGATCTTAGGAGTGCACATGGTAAGTAAGGAACATAATAGTCTTTTGTCAATCATACTTTCTCCATTTATCTTTTAAGAAAAGAGTCAAACCATTTTCATAGAATTTTTTGGTTGTTAGGTGCCTTTCAAAAAAGATATAAAACTTTTTAAATTTACAGTAGTCAACAAATTTCTTAGTGCAGACTATTCAGCCTGAATTTAAAGGAAACTGTGATAATAGATAATTATATCCTTTATAACTTAAATTCTTTTTCTTTTTCTGGTTTTGTAGCAATACCCAAAAGTGCTCAGGGGAAGGGCTCAGGGCTTACAGCTGGCTATAAACTCAGGGATCACTCTCTAGAATATTTAAAACTTTGTCCTGTTACTGGGATGTAATGAGTAGAAATTACTAGTAAAGTATCTTGAGATTTTTAAAAACTTTAAGCAGGGGGAATATGAGTTATTTTGGAGGGATTTTGTTATGGTTTTGGTTTGTTTTGTGTCTACACGTGGTGATGCTCATGATTTACCCTGGCTCTGTGTTCAGGACTGACTCCTACTGGTTTGGGGGGGGACCACTCATGATGCTGGGGAACAGACCAGGGTCAGTCACATATAAGGCTTAACCCCTATGCTATTTTTCTGCCCCCTAAAAACTTTCCCTTAATATGTAAACTGTATATATTCATGTGTGTGCACGCGCATGTGTGTGTATAATATACATGAAGATATAGATAAAATATTGTGGTCAGTAATTTTTAAAGAGGCATTGGAATCAAGGAGGTGGCATAGAGGTCAGGGCCCTAGTCTAATCCCTGGCTCTGCATGTCATCCTGCCTTGTATTTCTGGGTTGTTCCTAGAGGCCCTGGTCACCATTAGGGGTGGGCCTGGTGGTCTTCAGCTCTACAGGGCCCTGTACTACTTTGCGTCATCCCAGGGCCTTCACAATTGAACCTTCTGGCCCAGTTGTCTTGAGTACCACCTGACGTGATTCCCAGGTCTCTTTAGCATTGCTTGAGAGAACCCTCAACCCCCCACCCCTCAAATGAAGTGAAAAATGACAAGTCAGATTGACTAAGGTGGGTCCGTGGGAACATGAGCAAGGTTGAAACAGTGAAAAAGTGCAAATATTTGGTTGTATAATTCGTGGGCTCAAAGGATATGGGGAGTTGGGTGCCAATGGAACTGGAAATAGAAGTGAAATTGGGGAGTGGGTCGACTGAACCTGATTATGGAGGGATGAGCTTATGGGTAACAGTAAGACCTAAGATGTCCTGAGAGTGTGGTAAGGGGTGTTTGCATAAAATTATAATACGCAGAGTCTAAAATTCTCAAACTCCTTCCATTTTAAATTAAATCTAGCTTGCTTTTGTATCTTGACCACTAGACTAGTAAAAGTAAAAGTAGTGTTAACTGTTGATTATGACCTTTATTTTTAAAAAATTAAGTATGTTGTGAATGCCATTCCTCAGAACCTAGGGTTGAATGCAATGTCATTTTTATCATAAATGTGAAATTTCATATTTTTAAATTGTTCATTATTAACTCATACTTATCTGTTTTTACTTTAGGACTTTATCATTACTCTTGTGGCAACTTTTTTGTGGCTGGTGAGCACGTCAGCCTGGGCTAAAGCTCTTACAGATATTAAAATTGCTACTGGCCACAATATAGTCGGGGAGCTTGACCAATGTGTTGGTCATAACGTGAAGTGTAATTTTGACTCTGTGACTAGTATGGGATCCCTAAATGTATCTGTGGTATGTATACAGTATTTCATCACTTATTAGAAAAACCTTACAGTAATTTAGAAAAATAGTAACTTTTAATAAAGCCTCTGCATGAATAGATTGGTGTTTATTTTTACTACATCATCATAATCCCAGTTCTATATAATGGGACACACACACACACACACACACACACACACACACACACACACACGGTGCTTACCTTTCTAATGATGACTAAGAATTGGTTTAGAAAATTATTACTAGTAACCAGATTTGAGCCAATAATATTCGATTATTTCTTTTCATTAGATTTGGCTAGACAGGCAGGAATCTGAAAGGTACTAATAGTCACTAACATTTATTAAGACTTTAGAGCAAGCATTATGGTAAGAACATTACATTCCAGTTTCCTAAAATCTACTCTAAAGAAATGTTTTTTGTATAAATATATATCTAATTTTCCAAAGCACTGATAAACATTCTTTATTATTAATATACTAAATATAGGCCTAGTCCAGAGTAGGGGAAGGGGAGGAGAGAAAGTCGAATAGATTTTTTAGGGAGGTGTCATGTCTTTTGTTGATTTTGGTTTTGATTTTGGTTTTTGGGCCACACCTTGTTATGCTCAGGAGTTACTGCTGGCTCTGCACTCAGGAATCACTCCTGAAGTGCTCAGGGGACCATATGGAGTACCTTGGATTGAACCCAGGTTGGCCATAGGCTAGACAAGCACACTACCTGTTGTACTATCTCTCTGGTCCCTGAGGTGTCATATCTTTTTAAGAAAAATATTTTGGTTAGCTGAAGATGATCCCTCCTGATCTTATACAGAAACTTGGCTAGGTATTTTAGTAATTTTGTAATGTTAAGGTCAGTTTTGTATTTATGTTGACAATGATCTGAAAGCAAGTTTCAGCAGTTGTTTTTGTATTTTAAGTATTTGGCCTTTAGCAATATTACTCAAGTGTTATTGCTCCATATTTTCATACATCTTTCTTATTTTTTTTTTTTTTTGCTTATTTATAAGAAGCTTTGAAAATCAGTCTTAGTTTAGTCATCTTTGAGATTTTGTATGTCTGTGTTGTTTTGGAGTGCTGGCGGTGCTCAGGACTTACTCCTGGCTCTGCACTGAGTATTTACTCCTGGCAGGACTCGGGGGTCCATGTGGGATGCCAGGAATCAAACCCAGGTCAGCTGTGCAAGGGAAATACCCTATTCCCTGCACTATTGCTTTAGCACCTTCTCTGATAGAAATTTTGTCAGGTTTTCTATCTATGAAAACCAAACATTGACTAATGCAGAATATGAAGTAAAGTTCTTTTGTGGATCCTTTTTTTTTCTTCTGATTGCAGCTCTTGGAATAGGAGACATGGTAGAAGGAAGGGGGAAAGTAGGAAAATAGAATAAGGTAAATAGTGGCAGTTTGTCACCATTCAGATTGGAGAAATGCAAATATTCCTCAACCCAGTAGGGTTGGATTCTAATAGAGAGGGATTTAGTTACATTTCTCTAATAACACTCTCTAGGTAATAATGAGCATATGAATATAAGATTTCTTCTAGTCATGATTTTATATTGTAAATGTGGAAATTGAAACTTCATGTCATTAGGAATCTCTGAATTGGCAGTGAAATAGAAAGCCTTCCCTTTCTGTGGAGTTTTAAGTTTAAATGAAGTAGTAGCACACTGTCTAGAAATGTCAAGCTTTCAAAGGAAAACTAACATGGATGTGAATTTTTAAATAGATTTTTTTTTGTTTGTTTAAATTTCTATTTCTTAGATCTGTGGCTTTCTGAATTTGATACTTTGGGGAGGAAATGCATGGTTTGTGTACAAGGAGACCAACTTACACAGTCCATCAGATGCAACTGCTTCCCAAAGCCAAGGAGGTGGCCCACCTCCCACCGGAGTCTAATGCAAGGGAGAAATACACTGGATGAAAAATATGTCTATACTATTGACCTGTTGCCAACATCTTGAAAACCATTATTTGTTTCTAATAAAGTAATGGCTTTTTCAATAAATTGGTGGGTTAAAATTTTGCTGCTTTTTTAAATAAAGCCTGTGCCTTTCCTAAAAATTAAAGATGTAAATGTATTCTCACGTGTAAAATTCAGGGTCTGTTATGAGGTGATACACAATTTTAAATGAATGGTAATTTCTTCACTGAGTTGTTTGCCTTCTAAAGTGTTTACACCCTAAGCCTTAACATGTACCTTCGCTCAGAACAGAATTATATTGTCATATCGTAATAGGAAGAAAATCGCTATTTGGTATATACACTACTGTAAGTTTGTATAGATCATATACTTAAAACTTATCTTTGTTTTAAAAAGCCTTAATTACAGAAGTCATATTTAGGGGGGAAAAAAGCTTAATTCGGAACTTATATCTGACCATTGTTTATGTTACAATTTTTTTTTTCAATTGCAAACACTGGGTGTATGTTTTATTGCTGTTTTTCTAAATGACCTACAGTACCGATGGTGTAGTAAAATTGTTTGGGGAGCGGAGTTTGGAAATTTCTAATAGATGTACAGTTGATTTAGTACTTCTGTTGCATGAGATTCCATTATGTTGGTTTTGCTGCATAAATAGAACATGTTCCAAGTAGATCTTTTGATATGTATGGGCATTACTCTTAATGATGTTTGCTATACTGTGTTGTTCTTGCTACATAAATGCAGGCTGAAATCTGGTCTTGCAGATAGAGTACAATGATCCGACTTTTTTTGTTTTTAGATCCTGTTGGTAGGGTTAAAAAAAAAATACAGGCTTGTTCTTTCCAGCTTGTGTTCTACCTTGAGCACCTCTTGTTTCCACTCTGGAGAAGCCCATGTTTGCTCTTGCACGCAGATGTATTCCTCTTTCTCTCCCCTCACATCTTTCTAATTCATTCAATAAAAACTACCTTCTTGCTTCACTAAAAAAAAGAGAGAGAAGAAAGAAATTATGATTGCCTTATACTTTTGAACATAAATCAGCATTTAAATTCAATGACGTTGCTATTTTTAGTTAGCATTGATATTGTGAAAATGAGATTCAAATTTTGTTTCTTAATGTTCATTCTTACTTTACTAAAGGATAATTAAGGAATTATGCATTGTTAAGGGGAACGTCAGTGAGCTATTTGGGGTGCACTGTATTTGCACACACATTTGGATTTATTCTGAATTGTAGGCTTATTCACTTGCTTTTTTTGTTGTACAGGGCAAGATTTCCTGTTCTTAAGACATGGTTGTTTATATGTGAAGCGTCTCTTGTTATTGCCTCATTTTTGTTGCTTTTGTTAATGACAAGAATTGTCAGTATGAAAATGTGTATCTTTTATGCAACAACTTAATAAAAAAGTTTAAAAAGTGCTTTGATTGTTGTATTACAAAAAAAAAAATCTTAAGGCATGAGAAGTACAAAATGGAATTGATTTCCAAAACGAAAAACACATAATCACAATATTTTTATAACTTATTTTGATAAGGTGGCCTGGAAGTTAGCTCATTCTGCTTTGCAAGAGAGAACCCAAGATCCTATCCAACCCCCACCCCTAACATACCACTGGCAGCAACTGCCGAACACTGAGCCAAGAGAACCCCCCCATTTCATACCCATTTCCCTTCATCTAGCCCTAAATTGGTGTGGGCCTACCCCCTCCAGCCCCACCCACCCTCCAGGTTTTTTTTTTTTGGCAAGGAATAAGAGACGAAAAAATGACTTAGAGCTCCTGATTCTGTCCTTTTTTGATTTAAAAGAATGCTTTTTTGTAACTTTCAGATTAAATTTTCTGTTAACCTTTTCTAATTAGTTGGCTATCTTAGAGACAGCAAAGATTGTTAAGAGTATCTGCTGTGGGCCAGACTGCCTGGCATTAAATTACTTAGTTCACTTGAGGCAAATTACCAGCTTTAATGCCTCAATTTGTTCACCTGAAAATGCAAAGTTAAAAAAAGAAAGGAAATACAAGTAAAAGTACTAATCTCAAAGAATGTGTATGAGGAGCAAGGGATTTAACATAATGTCATAGAATATCTAGAATAATACCTAGCACTGTTTGGAAGGGTGTGTGGAAAGAAGATCATAGCAAAGGTGATGTAGGGACAGTGGTAGAAGTTTCGGACATTTTGGTTGTAAAATTTCATTTATGTATGAATAAAGTACACTGATACCATACGTTTTATCCTGTAACTACTTAATCTATAGTAAATGGTATTTAATATGTAGCACATAACAGGTACTTTATAAATGTTAGTTACTAGTGCAGTAGCTTCTAGAGATTTGTAAACCTGTCCCCAGACTGAAGAGGGGGCTTGGGCAGAAAGATGGGAGCTTTGGAAGGCAGCTCTGCTAACCACCATACCGCCAACTCAGAGGCAGTCTCTGGATTGCACGGGTCTCACTATATTCCGTAGAGTGCCAAATATTTGGGTATTTTTCTTTCATAACAGATGTTCATAAAGCTAAAGTCTGACAGCAGTTGTTTAACTGTCTCAACATATTGGGGTTAAGTTCCCAAGAGCAACCTTTATTTCTTCCAATTCCAGAATCATACACTGTATTTATTTGGCTGCCATGTTAATTTCGTCTTTTAAATTGGAATAGTTTCTTGCTCTGTTGTTCATGACATTGACATGACAAATTATAAGAGTATAATTTATTGTGTTTCAGAATTTCACTTAGTTTGGATTTGTCCATTTTTTTTTTATAATTCAGGTAGTGCGTTTTTGGAAGGAATAATAATAAATGATACATCTTCAGATTATCACATCAGGAGATGGTTATACCAATTTGTCCCATTACTGGTGATACTAAGTTTGATCTTAAGGTATTGTTCAAAAGTTCTTCCTCTTTTAAACTACTCTTTTTTTTTTAATTGAATCACTCTGAAATACAGCTACAAAGCTTTCGTGCTTGAGTTTCAGTAATACAATGATCGAGCACCTATCCCTCCACAGTGCACATTTTTCACCACTAATGTCCCAAGTATCCCCCCCCATCCTACCCCTCCCCCAGCCTCTGTGGCAGACAATTTCCCCCATACTCTACTTTTGGGCATTATGGTTGCAATACAGATACTGAGAGGCTATCACGTTTATTTCTTTATCTACTTTCAGCACACATCTCCCATCCCAAACGATCCCTCCAACCATCACTGACTTAGTGATCCCTTCTCTATTCCAGCTGCCTTCTCCCCCAGCTCATGAGGCAGGCTTAAAATACTCTTATTGTGCAATTAGTAATATAAAAATAAAAGCAAATAGACCAGAGAGATAATACAGCAGGTAAAGTGCCTGCCTTGCATGTGAACCAGGGTCGCTGTGTACAAGGCAAGCACTCTACCTGCAGTACTGTCTCCAGCCCCTACAGTTGAAAATTCTTTATCCAGGCAACTTTAACTCTCAAAAATATATCCTATGCGACCCTGGTTCACATCTTGCAACACATAACTCCAGGAATGATCCTTGAGCACAGAGCCAGGAATAAGCCCTGAACAAGCTAGGTCTGTCCCCAAAACAGTCAAAAAAAGAATTTTCAACTGTAAACAAGGCCAATACTGTTATGCATATTATGTTCACACAATATTTTAATTAGTATTTCAAATAAACAAGTATAAAAAGATATAATCAAATAAATGCCCACCACTAGATTAAACAGATGGTAACATTTTGTTTCATGTCAGAGCTGGGGTTTTTCACTTTTTTTTAAGAAATAAAACATTACAGATACAGCCTTCTTCTTAAGATATATTTCCCTCTTCCCTCCACCCCCATCACTACCCCACGACCATACATGGAAGGGTTGTACCAAAAAAAATATTTTTGTGAAACACAAATGCTACTCTAGGAGAATGTGAGCATTATGTTAGAATGTTAGAATGTGAGCATTCACATCTTTGGTTGTAGTGTAGGTGTTCCAAAATCGTCAAGTGTTTACACCAATTCAGTCTCCCACCACTATCTGAGAGTTCTGATTGCCAGTACTCAAGAATACAAACATTCTCCCCAACACTTGCTGTTACTGAACCATTGAAATCTTACAGGCTTGACAAAATGATTCTTTTTGATTTGTGTTCCAAGTGGTGAACTATGTGCCTCACATGTGAAGGCCCTGAGTTTGATCCTCTCGGACTGGAGCGATAGCACAAAGAATGAGTGGGTAGGGCGTTTGCCTTGTACGCAGCCAACCTGGCCCACCCGAGTTTGATTCCTCCGCCCCTCTCAGAGAGCCCAGCAAGCTACCAAGAGTATCTCACCCACATGGCAGAGCCTGGCAAGCTCCCTGTGGCTAATTCGATATGCCAAAAACAGTAACAAGTCTCACAATTTGTTCTGAGACATTGTTACTGGTGACTGATCTAGCAAATGATGAACAACAGGAGGACAGTGCTACAGTGCTAATGTGTGACCCCATGCATGGCCTGGCCCCAGCACCAAGACATCAGTGCCATATGTCTTGGCCTGCTTTCACCAGAAGTGGTTCTAGTCTAGGCACACATGCACCGCTTTAGAAAACTATTATGCATTCAGTAATTCTACAAAGAGATATTTTTCTTTTTGGGTCACACCCAGAAATGCTTAGGGGTTACTCCTAGCTTTACACTCAGGAATTTACTCCTGGCGGTGCTCAGGGAACCATATGGGTATATGGGATGCCAGGGATCGAACCTGGGTCAACCGCATGCAAGGCAAATACCTTATCCGCTGTACTATCACTCTGGCTCCTATAAAAAGTTTCTTACTGATGAAACTAGGATTTTGCTTGTCTGAGAAGAATAATATTTATGTGTGACATTGTTATCATGGCAAAAGAATGAGCTTCCAAATTTTCTCATGATCTATGGCAATTTCTCTCATGCATCCATTCCACCTGTTTCCCAGAGACCACTGATCTTTGTCCCTGTTAATTTGTATTTTCCAAGTGGTATGTAAGTGGAGTCATATAATACGTATTCTCTTTATGATTTCTTTCCCTCAGCAATGACTTGGGGAGTCATGGTGCAAGTGTCAGTAGCTCATTCCTTCGAATTTGCTTTTTCTGAAGTTTTTTTTTTTTTTAATGACACACTTGGTGGTGTTCAGGGCTTACTCCTGGCTCTCTGCTCGGGAATCACTTTTGGTGGAGACCAGGAGTTTATATGCAGTGCCAGGGATCAAACCAGGATTGTGGCCAGTGGAGCCATATGCAAAGCAAGTGCCTCACCTCCTATACTATCTTTTCAGCCCCACAAGAGTCACCATTTTTAGAGGAAAATATTTCATCAGATATTTTCACTGACTTAGAAGGTAGTAGAAATATAGTATTTCAGTCTCCATTTAGATCTACTGAACCAGACCTGCCTTTTTTCCCCCCATTTTTTATAATTTTATTTATTGAATCACTGTGAGAGCAGTTACAAAGCTTTTGGGTTTAAGTCTTGGTCATACAATGAAACACCTGTACCTTCACCAGTGCCCATTCTCCACCCCAAAAACCCCAGTATACTCCCATCCCACACCTTCCCCCTACCTGTGGGGCAGATGATTTCCACTTTACTCTCTCTCTACTTTGATCACATTCAATATTTTGACACCAGACCCACCATTATTATTTGAGATTTTACCCCAACACTCAGATCTGCTGGAAAGGCAACAGTTAACAGTTAACAATTTGTTTTCTATTGCTGATTAAGAATAATATATGATGTTGCATAGCTGCAGTAGTGGCCACGCGATTTTGAAATTCCAAAATTTTAACACTTAAATCTGCCTTTTAACAAATTCCTGGGGTGACGTGTAGATCTATTCACATCTGAGCAGCATTACTTCCTGTTGACAATAAGTATCTCCTGGATCTTTACTCTGACATATCTTAAAAACTAGCTTTACAGTTGATAGAAAGGAACCTCAAGTCATTGTTCCCGAGGAAGAATAGAAAAGCAATTTTGACTGTGGCTAGGTTGCTTTGAGAATTGATTTACTTGAGTTCAGGTCTCTTTCTGGAACTGAGAAAGAGGCAGCACAATCCTACAGAGATCGGAGATCCGTGAACAGACCTAAATCACAGTGTCATCCTCAGAACCTGCAGAGTGATCTGCCTATCCCCATCTCCTTTGCGATTCGCGGCCCCAGAACTCCATAACTCACTCATTTTCTAACCTTGTTTTCTTCTCGTGATTGCTGTGGGCTGTCCTGGGTAGCCATAGAGGACTGCTCTGTTGTAAAATGCTGCTCTAAAGTTATCTTTAACTTTCTCCTGAATTTTCCCTGATCACAACCGACCTGCTTTCAGTTATCTTGTTTTACTGATTCTCATTGCATCTCTGATGTTGAGATTGGTACCTTTTCTCCTCACTTTCTCTAACACTTTCTTTTGACATCATTTCCCTGCC